ATATATATGTATATATCTTTGAGCTATGAATCCACAAGTTACAAAATTACATGTTTTCAAATAAAAACTTAAAATTGCACTGTCTATTTTAGACCCCTAAAATAAAAAATATTGGAGTGGATTTTTGACACTTCAACATTTCACCTTATCTAGAGTTTTCTCTGCCACAATTTGCAAAAGTCCATGATTAAACTGATAAACAGAAAGAAAATGTGGTCAGTCAAATCTAATAGTAATATGTATTTGTATCAAATACCCCTTCTCACAATGCAGTGAGCACAGAAAACAATGAAATGGTCTATGGTCAGGTGTAGGCTGGAATGATTTGATTAAATATTAAGTCATAAGGCTTGACCCATTTAGTTGAGTTGTCTTCAGTGTACCTTTTAAAGTCAGAAGTTGATTAAAATGAACTCGACTGACCTCTATGTTATATAGGCCTATTTATAAGTAAAGTGAATATGATAAAGACGAGTTGTACAAACATTTAACCTGGTTGGGTTTGTTCTTTAGTTTGCACTGTAATGTTCATTCTAAGCTAATTGGTGATGCTAGTTAGCTCCAGCTCCAAGTTGTGATTATCTAAAAACACAGAATGTGGTGTGATTGTTTTGCAGCAAAGTAATAAATTTAACCAGATTTTTTTGGGTAGAAAATGTATGCTACGTCAAACAGAAAACTCAAACCTGCTGAGTTAAAATTGTTCAGGGTTAACTGAGTCGTAATATGCATTAAGTTACTAATTGGATATATTTAACCCAGCATTATATTGTGTGCACACGGTTCTTGATGATTAAATAGGTTTGTTCATGAGTGAACTGCAGGACTTACAACGAATCAAGATGCCAATGAGTCCAAAAAGCAAAATGACACTAAGTATCCCAAAGCACCAGGCCAACTTTGGACAGCACTGATATCTGCCATCTATTTCCTTTTCAGGCACAAGTCCTGCTGAGGTGAAACAGACAATAACACATGATTGTCAATGAAGTATTGCAGTGTTTCTGGTTTAACATTTGTTTTAATTAACATAAACTTCTGTCCTAAAGATCCCACATTGTATGTAAATAAAACTATTTGCCTCTCTAGAAAAAGCCATTCAAATTTCAAAAACAGTTCCCTAAGTGTAGAATATTAAATTTAAATATCAGGTTTGCTTCAGCAGTTGGAAGAAAAAAACAGACAAAGCTTTATGATTTCTAAACTGCTTCTCCATTAGTACCAGGAAAAGTACGATATCTGTTGCAGATATTACAGAAGTATTACTTGTGCTTTTTCCTCTAAACAATTTACCAGTTGCACCAGGTGTTTGTTTGGGTGTTTTGTCACCCACTTTCACTTCATCATACAAAGTCTCCTCCACTTTTGTTTCTGAAAGGTTTAAATGTTAAAGTTGAAATTTCAAGTTTCTGTCAAGTTATTCTTAACAAAGCATAAAGTACAGTATTTTCAACCATTTCTAAACCAGACATGTGTATTAAAGTACTTTTATTTCGTCACAGTACTTTTGAGGATCTGTAATTTTTCCAAGTCTTTTTGATAATTGTAACTTTTATTTTTATTTTGTTACATTCAAAACATAAAAAATTATACTTTTATTTCTTTACTTTGAAATGTAACATCTTGTTACATATTACAAATTTAAATGTGACCAGAACTAATCATGAAAGTAGTTGTTTATGCATTTTAAAAAGTAAAGAGTTTAATTAACTTAACCAAGTTATACCAACTAGTTCTATTAAATTAAGTCGAGCAAGTGTAAAGGAATTTATAAAGAAAATGTGTAAATTGCTTTACATTTGCTTAGTTTGGTTTAGTGGAAACCGATGACATAACATGATTAAGTAAACTCAACACTTCATTTCTAAGTGTGTAAAATTCTTTCCCGATTATTGTGAGCAGTTTTGTGACTTTTACTTGAGTCATATCAGTGAAATTCCTTTCTTTTTTCTCAAAGGAACTTTCTGTTTCTAGATTTTTACTCAGTTAATTTTTCAAGTACTTCTCACTCAAATTTCACATGAATTGCAGTCATCAAAATGTTAAAAAAAAAACATGTCCCAAAAAACAGTGTCTAATAATCCAGTTACAGTTTCAGCTTGTTTTTTCTTATTTACAAGACATTATTTAATTAATCAGTTCATTATAACCTGTTGTGAAAAAAGGTGCAATTTTGATCAGCTTTTCACCATTTGTTTTACTGGTCTCTCCCTAAAACCACTGATAAACCCGATGCCACCAGGGTATTTTCATCTTGTTTTTCTCTAATACCTTTGTGTTTTTAATGAAACCTCCAGATGTTTTTTCAATTCACTGCTCACCATTTGTTTCCCTTTTTTCATTTGCTTCATTGTGCAACTTGACTCCATCATACACAGTCTTCTCCTCTTCTGCTAAAAAATGTTAAAGTTAGTATTTCGTGAATAGAATAGAAATAGCCTTTATTGTCCAGCCGAGGGGAAATTCAGGTATCACAGCAGCATCAGTACAGAGGTTCACACACTAGTTACTTTACAAACTATAGACAGTGCACAAAAAATAACACTAACTAGCAATGATACAACTACTAACTATAAAAATATAATATGAAGGATTGTGCAAAAATAAAAAAGATATGTTTTGTTTTAGAGACTGTAGAATCATCAGAATTTGCCTATTTTCAGTGCAAAACAATACAGATGTGCAATTACAGCAGAATTATTTTTAAAGTTTAAAATGAGTAATAACAGCAAATGTTTGCTCAGATTATTAATTATATAAATGAATAAGTAGTGCAATTGATTTTTCAGATGAGTAATGACAATGAATAGCTTGTTAATAACATGCTTGTTCATTCATTAATTTCATGATTAACTGTGGCTTCATTTTAATTATTAGTGCCTTTACTTGTTTCTCTGGTTTACAGTCCGATCAAAATAAAGTGAAGAAAAACAGATCTTAAGCTGAGTTTTTCTTCAGAAGAATTAAGCACTTCACCTATACTTAAAAAAACAAAGACAAGATTATTTCTTACCTTTAGGATGTGATTGTTTTTTACTTTTAAATAACACTGAAGCATAGTGAACTTCTTCCTCTGCCATTGCTCCAAACCTAGCAGTTCAGTCTGACTTGATAGCCTGACCGCAACTGAGCAACAGACTGTTTAGAGGAAGTGAGAATATTTTTGATGAGAGTCAGTGTCTTTCAGTAAGCTTCTGCATTTGGATCAGAAAGTTATTTGCATCCACCACAAGTCTGAACACAGACTTCAAACCGCAGAGATTATGTCCTTCCTTGCACAGTGGGCAGATACATTTTCACACAGTTATGTGTACTTTCCACACCTTACGTTTAAAAAAATGTAACAAGTAGAAAGTCATTACTCCTATTTTGTTTCAGATGGTTTTCAGTCTGATTTGTCATTGGTAAAAAATTAAAACCTATCCACCTCCTGAATAGAGTAAGTCAAGTTGTGACTGGAGAAATATAAATAATCTGACATGCAGGTCTCTCTTGTAAATGAGACTACATGTCTCAATGAGATTACCTGCTTGAATAAAAATTAAAATTAAATATTGGTTTGTATGATCTCACTTATATGACACAAATTACATCACACTTTAGCAAAACATAGCATTACTATAATCCACTGTAATCTGTTTTAATGCATTTCAGCTATAACTGTTTTGTAACTGCAGTCTTTATATTAAATTTTATTAGTGTTTTCTAATTGAGTTAAACAGAGAGGTTGTTGCTGTTTTTTTGACAATGAATAAAGGGCAAAAGAATGAAAATCCGAAATCCAACCAAATTTCCTTCAGCTTCATTTAGTGTTCAGCCATTCAAATTATGGTCTTTAAAGAATTTGACCCTTTTTTGCCCAAATATCATATTCAAATCTCAGTTAGTTTTAGTAAATGACAATTTTTTTAAATAAAAGACTAAAAGGCTTCATTTTATATTATCCTACAATCAACAATATCAGCATAAAATTACAAAACCTTTTTCTTTCAGGAGTTGATTCATTTTGGTTTAAAAGAAGACACATTAAGCAAAACAATTTAACTGTTGTAATATAATTTATTTGCGGTTTATTATTATTTTAGTTTTATAGCTTGTTTTAAACATTTTTTAGATAGAAAGATCTCATATAAGACAGTTTATTGTCATGACACAGACACTATTGTTTCTCTTCCTCTTTGGTCTTATTTTATTAATTTACTGTTTACTTTAACTTTTACTGCATTTACACAATTCCCACTTTCTAGAAATTATCCTGTGTGAGCTACACTACATTGTGTAGTCATAGTACATTATTTCTTTGGGTGGCTCTTATAACACCTGTTTTGATTACTAGAGAACATAAATGCAAATTCTGGCGTGATAAAAAGTGCCAAATGACGTGAGCTTTGGCAGATTACACAACTAAAAGAGATTTTTGCTTTTAAAGATTCGTTTTAACCAATAAACTTTCTCTGGCCTGATATTTGTTTCAAAAATTACTCGTAATATACTTGTACATACAAGCAGTATCTTTCACTTTGAATACCAATATTTGTAACAAGGTCAGTGTTTTTCTTTTAAATCTTATCACAAATGTTTTCAGTTTTTACCTTGGTCTGTTACCATAGCAGCTAATGCAGAAAAGTAGCTATTTGTTCCAATCAACAGCAAATAAATGGCAGTAAAAAGAACCAAATTAAATGTCTTTGGAAATAGTTCTTCTTTTCTCTTTTTCTTAGTTACATTGTTATATTACAATTTTAAAAGTGTCTTAAGGGAGAATGTGGTCAATGTTTTGCCTAAAAAGAAAAGTAGATCAATTTACAAGTTCCGCCTGTCCATCCATTTTCTTCCACTTATCTGGGGTTGGGTCGTGGGGGCAGCAGCCTGAGCAGAGAGACCCAGAATTCCCTCTCCCCAACTGCTTGGGCCACCTCCTGGATGACCGAGCTTCTCGCCCTATCTCTAAGGGAGAGCCCAGACAACCTACGGAAGAAACTCATTTTGGCCGCTTGTATCCACGATCTCGTTCTTTCGTCACTACCCAAAACTCGTGACCATAGATGAGGGTTGGAACGTAGACCGACCGTAGCTTTACCAAGATAGATCGATATAACACCCGCATCACTGCAGATGCAGCACAAATTTGTCTATTGATCTCCCGCTCCGTTCTTCCCTCATTTGTGAACATGACCCTGAGATACTTAAACTCCTCCACTTGGGGCAGGACCTCCTCCCAGACCGGGAGAAGGCACTCTACTGGTTTCCGGCTCAAGACCATGGTGTTACGTGTCTGGCAGATTTGTTTTCTTCCTCCTCTTTCTTTTCTCTATTTTCAGGTTCAGCTTGCAGGCTGGAGCCAATTTGGATCTTTAACGGCTGATTGGATGGAAGAGTTTCGAACAGACCAACCAGGACTCCACCACAACCTACTTAAGAAGCTCACCTGGAGGTCTGGGGTGGCTTCTTCTCCTCCCTGCTGCAGCTGCTACTGCTACTGCTACTGCTACTGCTACACAGCAAAAACAGGAGTGTTAAAATTTCAGTGTTAAACTTTTGGGTGTTCATTTAACACCCCATAGTGTTATTTTAACACTTTCTGAGTAAACTCACACCCAGTGTTGGTGTTAATTCACAGTGATGATTTCCTCAGTGTTGTCTCAACACTGGACAGTGTTAAATAAGCTCCGCCCACAGTTAAGTCTTATGTAACACTTAACAGTGTTGTTATAGGACACCATGCAGTGTTGAAAGAAGTTTTCTGAAACGCCCCGCCCTCTTCCACCTCATGTCAGACAGACCAGCATTTACCCAGCATTCCTTGCTGAGAAATCTTGCAGAAATTATGTTTATGCATGTTTATGACTATTAAAGATGTTCATGAGAGTAAAAATCAGTAATTAAAATCCACACCATGAGTGAGAAGTACAGTATGTCCTGGTGTGTCAAGGGTGACTCCATTATACTTTTCTACTAACTACTGAGTAAAGAGTTTGATATTAACTGTGAGTGTTAAATTTACACTCCCAGTTCGATGGTGTATTAACACCTTGTTGTGTATGTTAACCTTTCAAACACCACCATTTCTTTTGTTAATAATAACACACTGGTGATACTTTTAACACTTAATTTTAACACTGCCCAAATGTTAATATTGACACCCAGTATTGTTGAATATTTAACACCGGCTGGTGTTACTGTTAACACTATATTTTAACACTAACACTATTTTTATGTTAATGTGACACCAAGAATTGTTGAATATTAAACGCTGGTTGGTGTTAAATTAACAAAAAATGAGTGTTAAAATTTAACGCTTTCACAAATGTTACTTTAACACCAGCGAGTGTGGACACAAATAGACCCTTTGCTGGTGTTAAAATTAACACTGTGGGTGTTAAATTAACACTGACATTTTTGCTGTGTACTGCTGCTGATTGCTTGGTGCACCTGTGCTGCTGCTGCTCCTGTGAAACCTGCTCCATTGTTTAAAGGTTTGTGGTGGGAGTTAAGAGGACTAGGTAAGTTTGGGGTACCCTGTACATTTTTCATCACGTAGGTACCTTTATGTTAAAAACACTAGGTAAGTAGRTTGGTGCCACCCATGTAATGTTTTGGTGAGACTTTTTTTAGAGAAGTTTATCAGGGTGTTTTTCTTTCTTTGTTTTCCATGTTAGACCAGATTGTAGACAGGCCCTGTTTTGTTTTGCTTGTTTCTTTTGTTTGGCACCACACCTAATGGTCCCTTTCTCCCCCACAGTGGTACAGCCTTTTAGAGCAGAGTAAACAAATAAAACTTTTTATACACCTTTGCAGTGACTCTTGTCTATTTATTGTGGTTGTCGTGTTGCTGCCCCTTGTTTAAAGGAAGGGGTCGTAACAATTGGATTTGGAGGCACTGATCTTCATCCCGGCCGCTTCACACTCGGCTATGAACTGCTCCAGTAAGAGAACTGGAGATCACGATCTGATGAAGCCAATGGAACCACATCATCCACTATTTGTACAATAAACGTGCATAAATTTTAGATTTGTATTTGTATCCATGTAAAATCAAATATGTTTTCCGTGAGAATACAAGTTTAAAAGTTACAAATACAATTTACAAAGTTACAACTTCACAACATTACAAATACGAATCACAAATTTACAAGTACAATTCTTTTACCCCAAGGATAACAGACATTATGCATGGAAAACCGAAAAGATCCATTGCAAACAGTAACTAAACCAGACCACTAGGGGGACATGACCACTGCCTCATTTGGTACAAGACAAACTCTTTGTAAACACAACAATGAATATATATATATATTGGAGGATTTGGTATTATATATATATATACAGT